AATGCCGAACACTAGAGGGTCTATAGCAGTCCCAAGGAGCCAAATTTGTTAGTGTATTAAGTGTTTGGATGTGCATCCACGTGGTTCCCACCATTTGAAAATTCAGTTTTAGTCCGCATAGCCTTTGCCAGTGACGTGCGATAAGTCTCCATAAGCTGCTTAAACAAGAGCTTGTGATTTATCATCAATGCACAATAAAATCTACCTCATCTGTCAAAAAATATTCTGTTTTGGTGACACTAAATACTAGGATGACCAAACATTAGAGACGAATGTTGCGCCTCACATTGTTGATAGGCGCCGTTCAGCATTTACCAAAAAATCCCGAAAACCACTTGAAAAGTAAGTTTTTCAAAGTACAAACATGCAAAGCTAGAATTTGCTTTAATCTGATTTGACTGATGCAAAAGCAGCACAAAACTTTTACAATGGCACTTTCCCAAATCGAATGACATCATCTTGTGTCTTTGTGAGCTCCGGTGCGTTCCCGCTGCTTAAATATTTCAAAGTCGCTATAAATGAATTACACATACCAGCTTGGTCGCTTATTTTCATGATATTCAAATCCGTGTTACACATGAGAACACTTGTTTCTGTATTTCTCTTCTTGAGCCACGACACTTATACTTGCATATTGAAAAATACAGCGATCACGAATATTTATTTTTGATCGGTGTAGAAAGCACGTCAGACACCACTGCTCATTATAGTATGCATGCAAACGTACTCAATACAGTTAGTTCCATTCTATTCAATTAGGCAAGTGTCAAGCATCCAAACTGTACATGGAAACCTAGCATATATCTGGTTTACCTGCAGTTGCACACGAGAAGTTGAACAAGGCGGCCACTAAATTTTACTCAGTACTGCAGACTCCTTCAGTCTTCTGACCTGCAACACCGTTGTTTACTTTGATCAGTGCTGCGGCCTTCGCTTTACTGACAGCCTGTTAATTGTACGGCGGTTTTTGTGCAACTCATCACCCTAAATATCAATGAAAGTTTCATCACTTTAGATCTGGATTGTTCAGAATATGACCGTTTGTTCACACGAACAAGGACGTCGGTCTATGACTGGTTTTATTTACCATCGGATTGAATTAGAAAATAATTTTGGCCATCAAAACGGGAATCACTAATAGATTATCAGGATATTTTTGGTTATAAACTACCCAGTAAACTGGGTGAATCAGATGTGAGCACCATAAAATTACTGTGTCGCTTCAATAGGTAATAAAAGTGTGTATTGCATGTCACAATTATTTTTTAATGGAGAAAAGAGGATGCTCATGCAAGTCCAGACCCGGATATAAAGAAACTCAGAATAAAGCAAAGAGTTTCGAGCCTCGATTAGGTGAATATATGATTATGCAGTTTTGAAATCTCATTGTCTGCTGGAACTTCAAAGTGCGTTTTGGCAACCAAACAGTTTGCAGGCCCTACCATCCCTTGAAAAGCCGCATCCAAGTTGATAGATATTCTTAGTTAGCGACCAGCTTTTGCGCCAGCATCACCTTGACCGAAGAGTTTGTTGCAGCAGAAGAAAAACCCATGGCAATATTTCTTCACAAAAAACTGTCTCTCAAGAGGACACATTGACCAGAACGCCGTCCGCTTCTTCCTATATAACACCAAACGAGACAGGCTTTATCAGATGCACTTTAAATGGGCGGTCTAGTAGTCTTTAATTTTCTCGTTTCCTGAAAGAATAATTGTTCAAAATTGCATGCTTAGTAACCGATTATATTAGAAGAGAATCCAATGAAATTGACTGGACTTAATGGACTTATTCAGTCATTGTTATCAACCATAGAAGATCACTACTATTCTATCTCAAAAACTTAGCATGGCATAACGAATAAAACTAACATCAAAAATAGAGTTGTGATGACAAAAAATGGAATTGAATTGTCGCCCTTTCAACCCGTAGGTTTTATTGTCAGTCACTCCATGGTAAATGCCCCTCCATTATCATCATCGAGGGAGCTTTGACTTATGCGACTTCATTTTCGCATACTCCTTTATGTCCTGAAGACAAATACCCAAAATGTGCAATTGCACAGGAGCTGATAGTTGACGAAACCTTGCTGAAGCCTATAGAAGATGGGAACCAAACAGGCTTTGCCTGCAATCCAGCTTTTTCCGGAAGTGTCTACTCTACCTTTTCCTCAATAATGCCTTTACACTGGGTGGAATATTGTTTTCTCAAACTGCTTGTCTTTACACCTGGATGAGAGAAATATGTGTGGCTATTTGTCTTTAACCAATAGTTGATAGATATTCTTAGTTAGCGACCAGCTTTTGCGCCAGCATCACCTTGACCGAAGAGTTTGTTGCAGCAGAAGAAAAACCCATGGCAATATTTCTTCACAAAAAACTGTCTCTCAAGAGGACACATTGTTATCGACAAGAAAACCTCAACGAAAGGAAATACTTTTGCTTCTTTATCTAAGGGATTACTGCCCATTGAGCAAATGAACTCCTGCACAGTGATAAACATCAAAATGGAAATACCCTGGTTCATTGGTCCCAACTTTTTCCGATCTATTGAACGGCAGGCATCAAGAATGAATTTCACACCCATCGACTTTTCACTAACAAACTCCTCTTGTGTGGACTCGATATGAATCCGTCAGTAGTTTGGTCTACTTTATAAACAATTCATTCCTCCCTGGATGGGGTCACAGTTTGAAAGTGCATTACGGTTGAAAAAAATAAAATGGATGTGTTAATTTGACGGTCCATTATTTTACTTGTTTCACAGAGAACAATTTGTTCCTCTGTTGAACCAGCGACTGCTGGTTCCTGTTGGATCTTATAAAGATCTTGATGGAAAAAAGTTTACCTTAAAGTTTATCCAAGCGGCATGGGTTAGCAATTCCAACCATAGGTTTGCCACATTGCATTAATGCGTCTTGGAGGTTGTTGACACATTCAGTCAATGTCCAGCGAAACATTTTGCTGCCCACGCACAAAGCTTGTTTGAGCACTTGAGTAAAAATAAAATCTCAGCGCTTGGAGAAAGAAAGCTTGCAGTAGCCTTCTTACCAGTCAAGAAAAACCTTCCCATCAAGTAAGTGTTTTGATCACAAACCTAGTTTTCCGCCACATGTGAAGGCAATGCGATATTCATCTATTATTGCCTACTTATCCCTCCGATTTCCGGACTTTATCAGACAATTTTCTGAACATATCTAGAGATTTAAGGGCCCTTTTTAAACATTGCTGATCAACAGCTTTGAGCGGACCGATTCTTCGTCAGACATGTATGTATGCAAATATGTAAATATCACTGAGAATTATACCAGATTGTTTTGACCCGATAAGTGATATAGAAAGTAGAACGTTACGGAATGCAACGCATTGTCAGTGTATATTTTTGTTCGTAGCAGACTCAATGGGCTCTAGGAAAAACGGAACTCTGGTTCATTTCAACCTGCCGCTTTTGGTATGTCCTGAGCAGAAAAATACACCAGGAATGGAGTAGGTCTGTTCAAACAAGCAACCACCTACAAGTTTTTCGACTGTTTCCAAGTGTTCCTGGTGCTGTTTGACTTGGGTGTCTTGTCAGGCGGGTCAGTCGATTTACAAAACCAGGGCAACTACTGAGTCGTCACCCAAGATGTGCAAAACAATCACAACGCTCAAGAGTAAACGTATTTGCCCGTTCGGACGTGATGATTCAGTTGCGTCCAGCGTTCGCTGATGGTGTAGCGGTAATATGCTTGCTTCCCATGTCAACTATCCAAAGCTCGGGCTTCTGTGTGGCTAAAAATATGCAATGGTAATAAGCTCTACTAAGATAGGCATTACGGCCTTAAACACCCCTCTTTTGATACGGATCCGCCGAAATAAATACCACAGGGCAGTAAGGGGACAGTCCGCACGAGTGATATAAATGCAAACTTTTGAGATGGGCATTTTACTCCACATTCCGGTTGCTGGTGTTGTAAGTGGCCTAGGCAGCTCACCGGTCACATAAAATTTCGAATAATTTGAACTCGGCAACACCGCTTAGTTTAAATCTGACGACACTTTTGAAGAATGATGCGTTGGATCCTTTATAAGTGCAACCCCCGCTCGACTGTTTAATTTTCGAGCACTATACCTCGGCTTTGAAACCGAGATTTGTAATGCACATAATTCTTGGCCCTCCAGAATCGACTCTCTTCATGTACACGACGAACTGTCCATCATCACGTCAGATTTGTCCATGTTGTCGGCAGTTTCGCCAACACTATCATTATTAAAGTTTATCATTTCAGTTTTCACTTCCACCAGCCAGTTTAAACGTCATCGAAAGTGGTGGAGTCAGCATTATCTTAAAAATGTTGACTCGTTTCTGAAAACCCATTAAAGCAACGCTAGAATAAGGGCTATTCTTGGCAATCACAGCTTATGTTTAATAGAGTCTGCATTACGGATACCGAGCCATCTTCGAATGGCCAATTGTTTTCCAGCATCATGATGGATCATATTTCAAAACTTCTCACGACTGCTTCCTAGCCATTCTGTTCAGTGTCAGGTCCTCAGAATATCTGAAATTTTGTTAATTTAAAATTATTGATACGGCTACTGCGCACAATGCTCTTCCATCTGTCTTGAGGAGATAAGGAGACCCCGGTTCAGAAGTAAATTATCGGCGAGGGACACTTACATTTCTCGCTGTCTCTATTTCACAATGTACCTATGTACTCTCAGCTCATACTAAATGAAATGCCACTAAGCGTGCATAGGCATTTTTCCTTGTCACTGGGGAACTTCCCTCTACTCATCGAAAGTTAGGCACGTTTGAAAACCAAATGACTGCCTTAAGTCAGTAACATTGCAGTATTTCTCATCAAATGCAACATGAATTGTTTCTTCCTTAGTAGTGTAAATGTAACAGTGCTCGGTTCAGTTACCTATGAATAGGTTTATATGATGATTAACCCACTTCTCCTATTTTTCTTCCAGATGATGAACTGAATTTTTGCACTTGCTGATGCAAAAACAACTGAAATGCATACGCTTACATCCACTTACAAGTTCGACTGCTGGATTATCTGTTATCAGAGGGTGTTGATGGAAATTCTTCTCATTTCAACTGCAATTTCAAAAAATTTGGCAAACGAGCCAAACGTGTTCTTCGTAACTGATGATGCCCCTGCTGGTCATCGTCTGGGCCGCCTCACACATCCGGACGCATACCAGAATGGTGCCATCGATGGTGCATCATTCCAGGCTGTGCTTGTACGCGCCAACCGACCCCCGGCGGTATTTTTCAAGTTGGATGAGCATAAGGGTGACCTTTTCACCAAAGTCCCGATGGATCGTGAAATGCTGTGCTCACATTTAACACAACTCAATACAAACGAAGGCAGTTTTGGCAACCAGGACCAGGTGGGTGCCATGGTTAAGTCACCAAATTGGAACAAATTGGGTCCGGTTGTTGGCTCAACTGCAATGCTTGGAAGCTCATCGCAGGAGTGCGAGTTAAAGTTCCAGGTGGCGTTGCATCGAAAAGCGTCTGCCTCTCTCCCTGGTTTACCGGAATTTCTAGATGTCCGTGTTGTAATTATGGATAGAAATGATCACGTACCAACATTCCATCCACATAAGTTCATAAATTTGTCTATTCCGGAATCAGCACAAATTGGTACACGAATTCGACTTCCTCTGGCAATGGACCCTGATTCCCCTGAATTTGCCATCAAGCAGTATAAGCTATTTCCAACTGATCAGAAAGAGTGGGTACTATACCAGCAAACCAACGATGTGCTATACCAAGGGCAACTTCATCACGAAATCGCTGCCTTATTTCTTGAACTGAGGTGTGCACTCGATCGCGAAAAAAAAAACTTGTTTGTTTTTGAAATCAAAGCATACGATTCGTTCGCTGAAACCACATCAAGCTATGATGACCGGAACACTTTAAAGGTACACGTCCTTGTGGAGGACATAAACGATAATGGTCCTGTATTCAGACCACAATCAACCAAACATCCTTCAGCTCCAGATAAATTGGACATATCACATTTGGTGACTTATCGAGCTGATATCATTGAGACTTCTTGGCCGAAGACCCCCATACTAAAGCTGGAAGCAACAGACAGGGACACCATGAACTTTGCAATTATTCGTTACGAGTTTGCCCCACAAACTGATCAACTTGTCCGGCGATACTTCAAACTAAACGAGCACTCTGGGGAGTTATACCTTCGACAGCCTCTGGATTATGAAACGAAATCCAAATTTACGTTCCAAGTTCTTGCCATTGATACTGAACACGAGCGTAGAATGAAACTTGATGGCATAGGAATGGGGGCTCACAGTGTTGGAGGTCAGGCCGATATATACACATCCACGGCGTACGTGATAGTCAATGTAGAGGATATTAACGATGAGGCTCCTGTGATCGAACTGGATTATTTGAGACTGGAAGAATCCACTGGAAGACCAGGCACTTTTGCTATGGTTCAGGAGAATTCAGACCCTCCGCAGTTTGTGGCTGATTTGTTTGTCACAGACAGGGATGTTAATCCGATGAATAATCACGTAGTTTGCAACTTGAACTCGCCTGGCGATTCACCCTCACCCATATCAAACAGGCTTAGGAATAACGGCACTTACATTCTCACACCTGAAAGTTATTTTCAGTTATCCGAGGTCCGTCGGCAAACTGGACAAGTGCAATATAATCTGCTGACTTTGCGACCACTAGACCGTGAAGAAGAGCAAACGGGTGGTTCCGTTCGCCGTATACATATCGTTTGTGTTGACTCAGGGACACCCTCCAAAACAAGCCATGTGACAGCCAACGTTCACGTAATGGACGTGAATGATAACAGTCCGAAAATTTACGGGATTAAGAGTCACACGTCACATTCCAAAGGGTCCAGTACAATCAAGCTATATGAGAACAGTGCAGTTGGCACTCTGGTGGCAAGAATAAACGTTAGTGATTTAGACTCGGGTCAAAACGGTATTGTTACCTGTAAGCTTGTTCACCCTCTGGAGCGTAATTCTACACAGCCGAGCTATGCAGACTACTTCCATGTCGAGCCAACCACTTGTGATCTTGTCACACGAAAAGTGATAGACAGGGAGTCAGTTGAACCATATATCGAGAGAGTTGTACTAACAATCTTAGCAGAGGACCAAGGCATTCCACCGAAAAGCACAGAAACTAAGTTAGAAATCGTGATCCTGGATGAGAACGACAATCCTCCGATTCTTCAACAAAGCTACTACCGCTTGAGCGTCAAAGAGAATTTACCCGCTGGAACATGCATTGGTCAACTGGTTGTACACGATTTAGATGGCGCCCTTGACCACCTGTCAGCACGTTTCCAGAAGCATGACGACTTACCATTTCAGTTGTGGAACAGCAAGCGTAGCCAGCAGCCGCCGGACTACGGAGGAGAAGTCGGGGCTTCCGTTGTCTATTATCTGAACACAACGAGACCACTAGACAGAGAGGCTAGAGAATCATACGAGTTCAATGTTCTAGTGATTGATGGTTTGGAACATTCGGCAGCTTTCAGGAATGAATTGAACTACCACCGCGTGCACACGACCACGGCCACGGTCTTTGTCTTGGTGGAAGACGAGAATGACAATGATCCGAACATTATCTTTCCGCAACAAGAAAACAAAACTTTCTACCTGTCGAACGTCGAACGTCAGCATTATCAGCTGATGACAGTCAATGTCAACGACAAGGACTCGAATGCCGGACAGTTTCTGTTCAGTTTGGTAGACGAAACTGTTTATGGTCTAAATCAATCCGTTAGGAAAAAAGATAGAGATCCAAAGATTCAGAATCGTCATACTCCCTTCCTGGATGTCGATCAGCGATTAGGTACAGTTTACCTTACACGGGACGTAATGGAGACAGACACAGGCTTATATGCGTACAAAGTGACCGTCGAAGATGACGGCAGTCCTCCAAGGTCAACGTCTTTGAGGTTCTTCGTGCGAGTTGAGCCCACCCCACCACGATCTCATCATCTACACAGTTTGTCTACTTCTGACAGGGAAATGCAAATGGTTTCAAATAACATTGAGCGATTTTCGGGTGCACACACTAGAATAGACCTGAGTAACGCCGAGGACTTTACAAGCAACAAAATATCTGAACAAAAACGATCTAAACTACTCGCTGGTTTTCCCCGATTTACTGGCGATGCTGTGCTCATTCTTTCCTTAGGCCTAATACTGTTATTACTTCTGGCCACATTGTGTCTCATTGTTTACGCACGACATTGGAATGCACCACGATTTACCAGGACACAAGCAGAACAAGAGGCACCACAAACCCTTGCATGGTTTTGTACACATTTATGCGACAGGGATAGTAGCACTGGTGGGAATATCAGTAAAGATTTCACCAGTGGTAAACCCGACCCCAACCTCAAACCTTCCACGTCATCATCCCAAATGTGTGGATTAAATCTCCCTGTTCAACACTTTTATGCGCCAGACAATGTAGGAACCCCTCAGTCACACGACACTACCACGGACATTTTAGATGATTCCACACTACAACGGATTTACACGGGTGACCGTATTTACTATCAGGAATGTCGACCACTGACACTGATTCCTGTGAGATCCACATCAGGAATCGATTCCAATCCTGACGGTTACACAACGTTACAAACCAACACACGATACCAAACATGTACACTGCCCGACAGACACAGGAGTCCTTCTTCAGCGGATGAACGAATTCCCGAGGTGGACACGGATTTACATTCCTTCAGTGACCCATTAAACTCCAATCCAAACCACTATACACCTCTAGTGAAGCGTAAACAATCTCCGTATAGGGACTCTGTGATGTCTAGTCAGCCACTCAGAAAAAAAGTCATGATCAGCTCAATTCCCTGCTGTGAAACAGACTGTACAAATGAAGAACATCAAGGCAAGCTGTTACAAATGCACACTTGATCGACTCAGGACAACCAAACAAAGGTGAGCAACCTAGATAATATTACTTATTTGTAGCCAGTATGCCTTTCTGTTTACAGCACCTAGACTGAACTACGTTGGAAATTAATCAGGCCTTAATTTCCGCGATCCGGATCAAACTTGTTGAAACACAAACACGTTCACGGAAAATACCTGGAAAACGGACCATGAGAGAAGGTGAATTTGGTATTGCCTGGAAGGCTAGTCTGTTGCTACGGTAGCACACAGGACCGAGCATCAGTGTTCCGGGCCCAGTTGAAACCGTATAAGTAGAAAACCGAATATCCGGCAGTCCTAGACCCGGTGTAAACGTGCTCCACTTCATAGTGAATTTCTCTTGCTTCGGAAGAAGCTTTGTTTGTTGCGTCAGAGGAAATTGCCAAATTATTTGCCTCCGTTTATGGCTTCTTGGTTGCGTCTTATCGGAATTAGCGTTTTCATTGGAGTTTATATTGGTACAGGCTATAGCGTGGCTTAAAATTGATGCAAACATAAAACCCCTTTGAATAAATTTTTATCCCTTTTTTTTACCCCAAAGTTTCCAGATTCCTCCCTCAATGAATTGATGTCCTAGATTATAGCTGTGGATAAGAGTCACCCATAAAATGGAGAAGTATTTACGAACTGTAAGCAACGTGTAAATATCCCCAAGGAAATTAACCTTGGAATGGGTCCGAAATGGTGTGTTGGGAAACTGGTGTAATGTATCGGTAACCCTAGCTGTACTTTGCCCTTTGCAATATGAATGCAAGTTAAACAGAAGTGAGAGGGTAAGAAGGGAATTATGGAGTTTAGTTAAAACTTTTTCCAGCTCATTTGGGCAGATTTCTGACACAAAAGATGTATCGGTACGTTTAATATTGTCTTCAGGTTTAGTTCTTCAGAGCCCTTGCTAGCTTCTTCGGGATTTATTTTCACGCATTGTTGAATTAAAAAGACTACAGTCATAATAGTCCTTCTGGAATGAAAAGTTTTCTGGTGTGAGAAATATAGAAATCTCCCAAGGCAATGTAAGTGTGACGAAGAGTGCCTGTTAGAGACTGTCCCGGGTACTGATCCCTCTTTGAAGTGAGTAGCTCTTGGGGGATTAATGTATTCTGTCCAGGATGTAGCACGCAGTATGGAGCCGTACAGTAATTATTTCGTTGGCCTGACATTCCCGCAACCTATATTGTTACTATTGTCTGTCTAATTGCGTTAAACAAATGACAACCTTCATGTATCCTTTGTTTCGGAAATGTTAGCTAATTCTCTAGTATATTGTACGTTTGCCACAGAGGGTATAGTATACCGAAGCTGACAGCATCCAGTCTACATTTCGAAGACGGCTTCAGACAGTTTGCAAAAGAGACTTTAATCATAAGTGGTGACACAAAGTTTGCCCACCATGGTCAAATTTTCATTCAGGAAATTCTACATATGAGCATGCTTTCTCATTCATTAGCTTTCTTAGTGAATGTTTGTAATCTGAGTGAATACACCGTAATTAAAAATCCCCAGTGCAGCTCACTTATTTCCTGTTAACAAACTAAGTGCAAGTATGTTTTCAACAACCTGATATTCAGGTTGGCTAATGGTGGAAAATCCCAGCGACACTCACAAAGTTATCGTTTGTTGCTGAAAGTTTCTATAGCCCTTTCCTGATACAAAATATTCTTTTTCGTTAAATTTTGAGATGAATTAGTTGTTGTATGGTCGATTTGAATATTAGTGGGCAACATTATCAATTGTTCACCATCCAAATCCGGGTCTGGAATTTTTATCTCCCTCATCAAAGCTTTGTTGCAACCATACTCCTTGGCGCCAAGAGAAATTAAACCAGAGGAAAGTGTAGATCACAGATAACTGGAGGTTGCTCCGCCTCACAACGACCCGACGTATTTTATCTTGGTGATGGAGGAACAAAAAAGCTATTAATTCCAAGGCATGCGTGTTTATCAGCCTTTCCACTGTCTCCAGTTTTCTCAGATTAAGTGCACCAAAATAAAGTTTTATTGCTGCACTAGGCCAACAAAACCAATTTATGATAAGAATGGGAGAAAATGTCGACGTTTTATTGGAAATAGCCTAGCCGCTCTCACTCACTAATTCCAATTTTGCAAGCCCAAATATCGGCAGAACATCCCGAAAATCCGGTTATTCGGCATTCTCTTTATGAGGTATTTGTCGTGTCTGTCTGTCTGTCAGATAGTTGTTCTGAGTTGGTAGCTCAGGCACTGATGCACACGCGTGTGAGGATCATGTTTTATTCTTGCTGGACATAATCTAACGGTAATGAAGACGATCACTCTGGATAATGCAGCCATGGTTGAGTCTGGTTCATCAAAAGTTTTGGGAAGGCCCATGAAAGAAACAATGCAGGTATTTCATTAATTACAATTGTAGGAAAAATGTGTGAGTTATTCTTGAATGACTGTTTTTCCCACGAAACCCGCTTTTTGAAAAAGTACTCCTAGGCGCTTGCCTAGGTAATCTTGGAGTCAGTGGTGACTAGTCACATCTGATTGTTCAGACTTCCCACGCGAATATGGAACTTGCGTGGAATCCAGTATATGCAGCTGTTTTCCTTATTGCATTTAAACACAAATTCTACAAAACAGGCGCGATCCTTACAGTCCAAAAAACAACAGCAAGTTTAAACGGGAGAGTTTGTCTGACAATCGAGACTATGTGACAGCCGACCGGGAGTGGATACTACTCGTGTCAGAATATTTGTGAAAAGAGTTCGCCCGTGTAGTTTTAAGGATCTAAACCAATCTTCACTCAGTGCTTTGTGACACGGCACGGGGTAGCAGTAACCAAATTTATTTGAGTTGAGAAGCCATTTATAATAGACCGACAAAATTACGCCGTTAACATCATCTGTCATTTGTAGTCACAACAGCGTCATACCAAGAATAATGTTTGTTTAAGATAAACCTGTGTGATCAAGAGTGGGCAGTTGCCCTGGTGGTCTTGAGCAAAATGGACTTTGCCAACACAAGGCGTTCCTTCGAAAACTACTATATTTCTATACTACTATACTATTCTTGAAATCTAAATATCATTCTTTGGTGTTGAGTACTGTGGCCAATTGATTGGTCCCCAAGAATGGTGCCTTTTTCGGGTGGTTTGTTTACCGAGGTTATCATACAAGTTCAACTTGTCTTCTTCTACAAGGCCGAAGTGTAAATCAATGGAAAGTATGTGGATTCGCAGCAGTTTTGTACACCCGTGGTCAGTAAATTAGAATAATGAAATGTTGCCAAACATTACTTTTTTACTCCCAGAAACGGAACCATTTGGTTATATAAGAAAGAATTAATTCAAGACAAAACGTTTGCGACTAAAGAGAACCAGATTCAGAAGTTTTTGCTATGGTACTATAAGTAGCAGTGTTCCGGCAAAACGAACGCTAAATCGCACATTACGCGCCCACAGTAAATAATTACAAGTCCTTTTCAACAAAAAATGATTGCGGGTAATCGTATTTAGGCAAACTGTTCGGAAACTGAAAAGCTTGGGAGGCCAGAGCAAAAAAATTGGAAAAATGCACACTGAAATTTCCCACGAAAGCATACATATTTTAAGGACACTAGTCTGGTCAAATTTGTGCTTCCGCAAAAATAGCTGCAGTGTTGGTTTTCTCGTCATTCTAGTGTCGCTCCCTTTGAAGTGCAGTGGCTTGTATGCTATGATATATGGTCATCAAAGTTTCCACTCATTTATACTTCTGAACTGCACTAGAGTCCACAGATACCATGTGCTTTTGGGAAAATCATAAGGGATTTGTTAACCTAACAAAGGCGGGAAATCGAATTTCATACAGGTACGAAAGGAGAATTTCCGCCAACATTTGACTTAGTCTACCAATATCTGTTAAGCCATCGTTTGCTTTATGGGTTATTCTTATTGCTGGTGATCACAACGTGAACTTGGAACGAAAGCAGATAACTAGTCATGTTTAATTTCTTTTGAAAAAACTCAAATGCTGAGAATATTCAGACTAATATGACAGTCGGATAAACGTGCTCGATGCCAATTATGTGCTCAGAACATGCCACCGGAGCTGATTAAATGCACCGATGTCTTAGGTTCATTCACAGTTCCAACTCAAACGGATGTTGTACCCCCGGAACAGCAGTTAAGTGTTTAGTTTTTCATATTTTTTGGCGCTTCAAGCAAGGTAATAAACTTTTAGCCTCAGGGACCCTTGCACTTATAGCTGAGAAAGGAGTCGCTGGAATGCAGGTCTTAGTAAGTCGCTGTAATTTTATTTATTGGTACGAAATAAAACGTAACTGTTCAAGAACAGTGGCATATGAACGCCAAACTCGAGCCCCAGCCCTTAGCCACAAAACTCCTCGGAATCAATGGACAACCATATGACATTTACTCAACTGATATATTACCTTTTCAGTCGCATAGCGCATTCGTTCGAAAGATCGCTGATACGGGCTTAATACAGTTGGAGCAGGAACAACTACCAAACTCATTTTTACTTTTATTTGTGACCAACTGTCCAGCACTCTTTCACTCTTACTCAAACTATTCACTCTTTTTTGTCCTAAAACGATGAGAGCAGTACTATTTCGGCCTTGTTGAACTCCCCATTGCCCCTCGTACGTTGATACATTGGTATACATTGATCCAACAGCTACCAGCAGTCCCCAGGTTTATCTTGCCAATGGGTACAGGCTACCCCAGAATGTGACGGACCACCTTTGGACATGCATTTCCTCTACGCGTGTACGTACAACGATCACCATCTTGCTTTGATCTCACCGCGTATTGGGCGGAAATACGGTATCTTGCGGGCTGTTCGTGCATCATAGCCATTATATTGGAATTTGTCATGAAGCCTGCTTCGCATCTAGCACTGGGTAGGACAGGAATCACACTCTTTTCATGCTTTCTACGTACCGCGCAAAGAATAAGCCAGAGTACCTCGAGGTAGCAACCAAAAACTTGATTGCTACTAAACACAATGGTTTGTCGCC